GTGCTGCTGAAGTGCCTGAACGCTTTTTAGGGCTTCGTTCGAAATCGGTGGTACGTCCGGATGATCAATTAGAGAAATTTAATGCTTTGTAATGCAAGGAGCCCGAAGCCTGTGTCGCTAAACCTTATCTGAAGAGTTCCTGTATTTCAGCACTGATTTACATAACACAGAGTGTAAGGCGCCTTTCAAATGAGAGCCTCACGATTAGAGTACTGTGCGAGCCAGATATATTTCAGGGTGGACACCTCGAGAGAAAATATACATTCTGCTATGTGTTAGTGGCTTAGCCTTTATAGTTGGGTTAGCACATATGTGCGTATGTGTGACACGTCTCGACAGGTTAAACAGTCACGGTTGCGGCGGAACCTTTGGCCAGCCTGCTGGTTTTGATAATTTCATTATTTCAGTTTATCATAGGATTTGTCCAGACATACTGGTACTGGGTTCTTTTCGGGCCGTCCGAGAAAGATTGATCAGCTTGCTGGTACCAGCAATGGCAGCCCAACCACGTAGTGGCTTCTTGTTAACGTGTAGCCACACCATTGTATCATCACACCATCTTGTGCGACCCACCCCTTTATACCAGGGTACGTGTGACCCCCTTTCACCCCCATTAAAATTGTGAATACCTACATTTCACAGTGAACTGTCGCCTGGTACGCGGCTCGTGTTCGATGTGGTTTCCCACATCCGACTTCCCTTTCTCTATTTACCTCTAGAAGAGTGAATCGTCAACATAAGTTTGTGTTTAGCCGCGATATGGCCTGAACGGCTGTGTCACCACATGAAACACTCTCTTCGATATAATCAGACTCTTCTAGAGCATCCTGCTCGAAAAATTACCGAAGTGAGGGAAGTTTTGCTGTTTCTCACCAACGATGATGCTAACCATGGACAAGAGCACTAAACAATGCGCAGTCGACCATGCCGTTCTACAGCATGACCTTTTACACAGTCAGTTGGATGGAATAGGTACTACAGTAATGCAACATTGCATGGATGTCAGAAATGTGCCACAGGCTTATCGATCAGCCTAGAAAAGAGTGAAGTACCGAAACGAATCTGTCTAATTAGTACGGTGCAGATGATGAGATGAAGGGGTATAATTAAGATAATATTCGTAGGACGCGCAGGTAACATCACTACACATTGCATATGGTCAATCATAGAAGTTCCACACGCCTCTCAACCTGCAGTTGCGGCACGAAGTCTGTGCTCTGCTCATCCTCCGATTGACGAAGACCCTTTATCAAGATGGTGGATTTTTTTATTTCGGAAAAAGGAGTCGCCGACATCTCGGCTATTAAAGCTCATATACTAATTCTCTCCCAGTGAACAAAAAATTTGATCACACACGATACGCTTGGATAGTCGCTCGACCACTAGTTGTTCGAACGCCTTGCATGATTACTTTGTTTACAGAAGTACTACGCGTATTGTCCATTCTCGCACGCAGCCTTCATACTTAAAGGCTACAAGCACGACGCGCCGTTGTTGTTTTTGGAGCATATAGTCATTGCGGCTACCCTCATCCAGAGGTTGACATTTTTCGTCCTGCCCTCAAAGCGCTGAATGCCCAACGTGAGCGGTCTTTCTGTGGGATCACCGCAGACGCCTGGTTATGGCAATCTTTTCGTAGATAGTGAGCGCTTTCAAATGCTCGACAGGCGCTTGCTGCTGCTTGATAACCGCTTCCGGTTCTCAAGCTGCGAGTTGCGTAATCGTCTCTGGGGCAACTATGGACAGAAGCTTGGTAATCGAGTCTTGTTTTCCCGACGACAGATATGATGACACAACGTGTTTCATCCTCGTAGATGATACGGCCTTAATTAGACTCGGTAGTCGAGTTGACGACAAGTGTTTCAAAATGCAACGATGTTCCGTGCACCTCATAAAGATGCAGCATTGAATCCACGAGCCCGCCTTAATAACGCAGCTAAGATTTTTTTACTCTGCAAACTTGAGAACCTTATAAATACCAACCACTAAGCATTAATCTTCTTGTATAGAATTAAACGAGTTCAAACTCATAATAAAGATAGATATTTTATTTATCAACATAAATAAACCAGATGTTGTGCATAGCATGAGGCATGATCCCTCAAGCCTCTCCTTTACGGACTTCCGTCACTCTCATCTGTCTATGAAGTATCATGGTGCTTACTTTAGCTTTGTACTGCAGAACTTCGAATGACAATGATGTGCATGTACACCGTACCCATCATCCAGATATCAATCTGATTGCGATATCACCCTGCTCAACACCGCTAATAGCCAATCTTATTGGCTTCGGACTGATACGTCAAACTCCTTTAGCTAATTCATGTGTGTGCCACTAACAAATACCTCATTGCCTGGATATCTCGGCGTTATTCTTTTTACTCAGTTTGTGATCTGTAGTAGTCTGCAATTTATGAATAGAAGCAGATAAACGCTGGTTTTTACTGGTTGTAGTGTCGCAGTAAATGGTAAATTTTCAGCATTGTGATCAGCTTGCGGGACAAGACTGTGCAGCCAGAATCTATGAGTCTCAGACCTCATGTTATTTTTACTCCATTTGCAGTAAGACTATAAAAATGGTTCGTTTTCAACCGAATGGCTCATAATTTGCTTGCATGAGGAATGTAGACAATCGAGTTTTCTTTCTTTCATGCCAAATGACGCATGCCGTGATCTATACAGGTGGAACGCTCTTCAGCACACCTTCTTTTACATCACCCATATCTACCTTTTCAGTACGTAGGTCACAGAAAGCTTTTTCTCGAAACTGAAAGCTGATCGTTGCATTCATTGGCTGGCAAACACTTTAGGCGGTAATAGACATGTTAATGCAATGTGACCAGCAGATGATACAATTTTAGTTATAGCAGCCCTAAATGGGTTATATATGCTGCGATCATCGATTGATAGGATAGAACGGTGAATACTTTCGAGCTCCTCGAATATATGAACTTGATTTTCAATATTGTGGTATCAAAGTCTTGTAGTGGTTTCGAGAAATATTACTGAAAGCATTTGGCAATGAGGTCAGCAACATCCTATTAAAAGGCTTCGAGCGATGAGGTCAGCAATTGTTGTTTCTTTTCCGTTGTCGGATTGTTCGACGGGCCCCGACGGGTGCGTCTGTTGTGACTGAACCAAATCAGCATTCGTAATGCTCGAAAAAACAGCTTGATGGACGCCGTTATTGACATTACGGCGGGATCTACTTAATCACTTGCTCATTCCCCTGATGACCACATTTCGCCGGTTGATCATCAAGGGATTCAATACTAATATCATTCGAGCTACTAATTATTCGCAACATTCTATTATGTTTTTAACACTGCGTAAAATTAACGTACCACAGCATACAACAAAGACAAGCCATATATATATCTTCTTTCAAACGTCTGGTGAAAAATGCTTTACTTTGTACTGGATTTTATACAAATTATCCGCGGGCTCAATAGGCCATTCGTCAATAATCCGTTAGAAATCGTAAGCTACTGCCCCAATATTGTGCATTACCTAAATACTACAGTATGTCAAACCTTTGATGTTACTATAATAATAATAATTCCACCGAGACTCATCTGCCTCGATTCGAAAGAAATCACGCGTGATTTATATTTGAACTCTCTGTTGTGCGAGGTTGTGGTCCGTACATGCAGATTACTAAGACTGACTTCAGACCAGTGTCGCAATCTCACAGCTTTAATGGGTTAAGAGAGCGACTTCGCGACCGGATCTCCCTCGTTTCAGTCGTTGAAGACGGGACTTTGTCGTTGATTCCTTCACTTTATGTACATGTACTATAAACTAGACTGATTCTCTGTACTCGCACAAACGTCCATATGCTATTATACAGTATGGAAGATATTACTTGCAAAAACCGATGTAAATATAATTAAGTATTGTCCACAGTCCGTAGGGACCAGACATCCCTATAATCGTTTGTGCCAATATAAACATTCGAGTCTTTCGAAGGTCAGTGCATCAACGTTGTGACAACAGCGCCTTGCGTCGAATGCATTAAAAATTTCTTGTTTTCTGTGCTGCCATTATATCCAGTCGCGCTAGTTGATAAAACAGTTGTTGGCTTTCATGCAGCGACGCGGCGATGTGTTCACAGAAGTCGAAATTTGTCATATCGTACTGTTTTTTCTAATATTGTACCTACCCCTATCTTCAGCTGGTCTCGTTGCTGTACGCGACGCGGCAAGGAGTCAGTGTAACCAGTCGGACCACACAATTAACGTCCGGTATCTCCCGATCGCGCCAACATCCTTTGCTCACATCGCTACCACGAAAGTACATTAGAAAATCTAATACTTATATTCTTATGCTAGTAAATAACAAGTCGAGTCTTTCTTAGTAGTGATGTTGAAATACCATTCGAATCTCACAGACGAGGAAGGAGGGAACTTTATTATGCAGAAAAGCGACGTGGAAAGCGTAGGTGGCCGAACGCTTCTGCGCTATTTGTACTAGTCATTACATTTACTGGTACAGATCACGCACGAAGGTTACTTCAGCACAAACCGCAAAACGGCTGGCAAAACGTGTGAAGCCGGCTTCTGGCCTTTGTGCCCGCGTCAAGAATACGACGCTTTTACATTCAACAGTATTTTTTCCTTAAGGAGTACAATAACATGCGTAGTGGATATATTTAAAATTAACCGAAGAGATCGGTGTACTATACGCGTCTCTTTCTTGAGACACAACGCGACGGTGTAACCATACTATCCAACAACCTACAACGCACATTCATGGTTATACGATCCGCACAAAAATCGAAGTTTGTATGGTTAGGGGTCGGAACTTGCCCCTTGTCTTGTCTGTCGTCAAATCGTCCGTCCTCCGCCGCTTTTTATCATCTGCCACTTATCAAAAAGACTCGTGGCAACACAGTGGTCTCACTTTACCTTCACTCTTTCAGCACACCATTTAACGGGATACTTAACTAGCGCAAGGCTCATCAGATTTTTCGAATCTCTTATCTCTATAAAAAAAGAACGATGAGGCAGCGCACCAAGAGTGTTGTGAGTGTGCGGGAATATTTCCGCATCGATGGCAGTGGCGCCCCTGAGCAGGAAGACGACGACGACAATGACGATTGGGCTGCCGTTGCTATGTACGGATCCTGCATGGATGTGCTCAAACCTGGCAAGAAGACGCGTGCACGCACATCGACTTGTGACTCACTGGCTGAGACGGATGACGACTCGGATGGCGAAGAGAACGATGGTATTTTACGCATTCGAGCGTGTAGCCACAGTCGTCGCATCAGTTTTGACGACGACGTTAATGTCGTTGAGATTCCTGCACGCTCTACCTTTGATGCTGACTACAAGCAGCGCGTCTGGTATACGCAGGACGAATTGCTTCGTAGTCAAGAGTGCTACTAGACTGCATATTTTGAATGACTCAAACCCACATAGAGGAGAGGTGCTTGAGTCTTTCTTCTTTCACAGACCCAATCATTTCGTTCGATGATTCCATGAGAAGAAACATCAAGTGCTTTCACGAGCGTGTCTGAAGCTATACATTCTCTCGAGAGCTGGCGCACTTTCAAATCGCCAGTTAGATGTTTATTTAACGAGTCGAGTGGAGGCCCAAATACGCTCTTATATTAAGTCGACGGATAGTGCATTGTTGACCAGGTGACCCGAAGTGACAGGATCCCTAATTTAAAATACACTTTCAATCAACCCTATACATACATATTTGTACCTTGTTTTTTTTTCATAGATGGACCCTAATTCAAGAGTTTTTGCTTCTTACTGGCATCATCACTGTTTCATTTCAAAATTTAGAATGCGACATTAAATTCTGCAGAGCACTTAATTGCTCATTTGACCTACCAGCTGGTTACCGGCCCTTCTCTTTAATGTGTTGTGCATCCGCTCTGAGCGCCATCATTCTCGTCAAATGATCTGCTTTCCCTTTTTCTTGTCTTTGAAAATTTTGTCACGAAAGATGGAAACTGCACTGTCCTTCGGTAATGCAGTATATTAGTCGCTCTTTCATAATTTCACGCGTTGAATAATCCGGTAGCTTGAGATAATTCGTGCACGTTGACGCAGACGGTAGCACAGCGTCATTTTCTTCAACGCTGTTAACATCCGGCAGCTTTCGCACGACTGTAAGCTTAGGCTCAAGGTTGCGCAGTCCACCCAATGGTAGCCGATTCGCACCCGTCACAAAGCGCACGAAGAGGCGCTGCTCGTCTACGGGCAGTTCACACAATATCGACACGAGGTGACCAATGGCACGACTCTCTGCTGTGTAGCCATGATCACATACCATGTGTTCACGCAAGTCAAGACCATTGCGATCCCACATTGTACTACCAGTGCCACGGTCACTCAAAAGCTCCTCTAATTCATTGACATCAAAAGCCTGTAAAAAGCGAAAGAGCTGCTCGCCGCAAATCTGCTCGAATCCTTGTCGAAATGCATGTACTTGAAACTTGATGGTGCGATCCAGAAGAAACTCGAGATTTAGAGCGACGTACTGTTGCAGCGTAGATAACGTCACGGGAATGTCCTCTCCTCCTACAATTAGCGGAATTTCGTCAGCGCCGACCATTGTAAACGAACGACACAATGCATCAACTTCAATTGTCCATTGCGCCACGTCTGACGACGCCTCAACATGACCGGACGCTTTCGTTGCCGCATATTTGACCGTTAAATTGTGCAAGTAACGCAACGAATTTGCGATACTCGGATCCAATTCGTCAACGAACGAAAGCGACGTCTCAATACTCACGCAGTCGCCCACCATTTTTTCGCCGCGCAACGCGCGCAAGAACGGGCGAGCAAACGGCAAGTTCAGCAACCGCTCGTCTAAGATCGCTTGACCCACTAACCGACCTAGAAACCGAAACCACGTCAGGACATCCACCTCTTCTCCGTTACAAGTTGCCGCATCTGCCTCCAGATTAACAGTCTCACTTGATTTAGTCTGTACTGAAGTTTTCACTTCGTCAAGGCTGTCGTTACTCAAGTACGGTTTCGGGTACAAACCAAACGGGGCCGTCACGGGTGGTCCACCACCGACATTGCTGCCTGCAAATGCTTCATTCAAGTAATGAAACGACTCAATCTCCGACTCGAGCACTTCTGGAGTCGATGTAAGGCTTGTCACCAAGGCATCCACATCGCGTCGAGTAACAACCACTGTCATGATGTTCAACGGCGTGCCTTCACACAAAGGTGACACGTGTTTTGTCACGGCTCGATAGTCACGTTCATACATGCGTCGGCCTGAGCGCGAGACCATGCGATCACCATCCATTACAACTATACCAGCATCTGTACCCGGAAAATTTACAGTCTCACAATGCGCACACTGCAGTACTGGAAGACGCACTCGTTTTGAACGACGAGGGAAAACCTTGGCCAGATACTGGGCCTCGTCCTTACTTAAAATCCACCACTTCAGTGTGCACATCCTGGCCTCGTCGCAATCGCATAACATAGCAGCAGAATACCAGTCACGTTCACCCAAACATTTAGCACACTGTGGGATCGAGGTTCTCCCGCTCCGGCGCCGTGAAACTGAAGCGGACAATGTGCTCGTCTTACAGTCCACCGATGCTTGTTTATTCTTGTTTGTTTTGCTTTCGTCGGTTAAAAGTTGCTGGTGTAACGAGCACACCGGAAGACGAAGCACCTCGCACTGGGTACAATAGTAAGTGGCAATGCGGTGGTATCCTCGGATGGCAAGCGAGCTTTGACGCTTTGATATTGAATCTGATTCATCCTCAACCGCCAGACTCTTTTGCTCATCGTCAAATATTTGTTTCGCTTCAGTTCTAATCAAATCATCGTCCCTCCACAATTGTAATTGCTTGGATTGAATTTGTTGGCACACAAGAGTAAAAAACTCGGTAGTTGGGCCCAAGCCAGTACCCACTTCTCCAAGGAACTCAGTTTCAATCACTGCTTTACTTCCACCGTAAATGGTGATGAGTTTCATTGCTGACTGTAAGAGACGCGACCGTGCCACTCGTACTTTTAGCCGAGGAAGTTTGACCATTTGAGAAAGACCTTCGAGTACAGAAGCCCGTGTGCGATTTGATGGTTCCCGAAAACGACGCCGACCACTACTTGACCGGGGCGGTTGCATAAGCACTGGCTCTCCAAACACAGCTTTTTTCCAAACAGACCGACACAGATATTGAATTGCTCTGGAGCACCCACTCGTAGTTGCATACATGAAATGGCATCGCGTTTCAAACTCGAGCACGAAAGCAAATTCGTCTACAAGACGAAAACACCATTTGGGGAGGGAATTCGTGACCACTCGAATCGGCTGCTGCAGCGCGCGACGAACTTGAAGACTTAGATAACTGTTTGTAAACGAAAGTTTTTTCCCAAACAATTGCGCAGTACATTGCTGTCGCACAAGTTTTAGCAACAACAGCAAATCCCAAACGTCATCCCACCATTGATCCGTTCCGACCACGTCAGTTGGACCCACAGTATCCTTTTTTACCGCAGTACAAGCCTCTATGTGCCCGGACACGCAACAAGCGTTAGAAGCTACTACTTTAAACGTGATGTCGTGGGGTGTAGACCTCCATATGCGTGATCGTGACGCAGATAGAGTAGTTTCGGCAACGTCTCTAAACTTCACAATTGCTTCTAAAAGACTTATGTCAGCTGGAAGGACGTGTTTGTTGTAGACTGCGACAACTCTTCGCAGCTTGTTGGTATCGTTCGCAAATTCTCCGCTTTCACCAATGTCTTCTCTCTCTTCAACCTCAGTACTTGATCGGGTCAAAACATCAAGGATTGGTTCTCCACTACCGCTTTGGCCAAACAATTTATCTGCTATAAAATCTTCCATTGTTTCGATTCGGGCTAGAGGTTCCACAAGCACAATTGTATTGTGGACAGATCTATAGCTCGACTTATCGCTATCGCGTTCGACAGTTTGTTTCCAATGATTAGCTTGTTGCTCTTGCGCCCCTGTTCCCTGCATACTGTTGTCTTCGTGATCAGGCTCCGCTTCCGGCTTCGATTCCTCAACTAGCACATGCACTTTAATGTGCTGCAGAAGCTGATCCAGATCGGTCACGATGCTGCCAGATGAAAGTCCAGTATACGCTGACAATTCATCGTTTTGAGATACAGGAAAAGCATCTTTCTCAGACGAAATGGCATCTTGCAAACACTGCAAGAGCGACATAATAAAATCCATTCCTTTGTTTCCAGGATCGTTAAGCATTTGGCAGAATGCTCGCTGACCTCCTTTATCGATTAGAACTTCTATAAGAACCTTAACTAGTCCGCTGCTTGCCAGCTCGTATGCTGTCAGAAACATATCGCCTTGAGCTACAAAATCGCGTAACATTCGAAGCAAACAAAGTGATTTTTTCTCAACTCCTTCACTTTGTCTATCTTCACTTAAAGCTGATTGAAGATTGGTAACAAGTTGCCTCAATTGATTTAACATACTCACGTTTAAGCTTTCAGCCCCAAAAAACTCATTAACAAGCCGAGTTGACAAAATTATAGCCTCTCCCTCATCACAGTCACTCGTATTATCCTCCTTTTTGAATGTAGCATACATACGAATAATATTCGCAACACCATGACGCTCAAAATTGTCCTTTGCTGCCTCTTGTGTACCAATATGTTGCAGGGGCACCTCGATTATTCGCAGCGCCATTATTACTATAGCTAGCTCCGTTTCGTCGTTTGCTAGAGCCGCTGGGATCGTTTTGTCGCGCTTAGGACGCAATACCCGTGCGAGAAAAGCAGCCAAACGAGAATTTTCGATACTTTCTGAAGTAGCTGTTGACTGCTTGTTGGCATGCACTAATAAACAGCCTTGATACATGATGTTAAGACAGTCGTGTCGTAAATCGGTGCGCGACGTGGTATCATAGACGCGAATGAGAGATGGCATTATATTCTGCGCGAGCATTAGGACAGGACGCGGCACCTTATCTGTCGGTAATAACATTTCTGCTTTCGAAACAAGAACAAGTGCGAGCTTCAAAGTCTCTCCGAGTACTTGGCTGTCGGCAATCACCTCTTTTTTTGCCAACAAAGCTGTCGCAATCGGTGGCAACCGGACATACCGCAACTGAGACGCAGTAGAAGTAAAATTCTCGTCCCTTAAATCACTTGCAACACACGAGAGATAGCAAGAAAGAAAGCGTAAGATACTCAATGGTGAAAAGTGAGACACTGGACTGCCGCCAGGTTCATTCAAACTGACAAAAGACATAAGTTTGGCCACAAGTAAGTCGCAGATCTCGTCTGTTGCAACCATTGACGCAAACTCTGGATTAGTTGAAAATGCTGAGCTGTCTGCAAGTTTTTGTAAACATTCAAAGCTGCTTTGAAGAATTTCAGGATCGAATGAGCGCAATAAATTCGTAATGAATGGCAATCCCTGGCGCAATTTGTCTTGTAAAGACGAAGGGAACTCGGTGCATAATTGACAGACGATGCGAACAGCTCGACGCTGAATTTCTAATTGAAAAAAGTCGACAAACTGCAGTAGAGCGACGATACCGTTCTCGTTAATAACTTCTGTCCGGTACTGAGCACACAATTGTGATACGTTTGGTACTGTTACGACAGAAGCAAACGCAAATTCGGTTTTGCAAACAATTGTTTCCAAGATCTGTAACGCTAGCTCAGCCACATCCATGTACTCAATCTCCAGTAGCTTCTCACACAGCGAGGGAATCACGTGCTCTGCTGCTGCTTTTGAAATCGCTATGGAAGGAAAGAGCTCTAAGATAGTTGATAGAGCTCTGGCAGCTAAAAGCAGTAGCTCCATCGAAGGTGAAATGCGGAGAAGCGCGACTATTGCCGAAACAAACTTTTCGACGCTAAAGCCAGAGACTTCGAGCGCCTCCTCTGATGACAGCGACAGCGTCTCGCACAATTCAGTAAGTGCTTCAATTTGCGTGTGTATCGGTTGTTCGGTTCCGATCTGTTCGTAGATTCGCTGAAAGCGCGAACTGCTGCCGGAACTCTGTAGTAGTTGTGAGAATGGAAACACGCCGTCCAATATAGAGCTATCACCGCTGTGCAGCTGCTCAAGAAGTCCTTGTAGCGACTGTGGGACATCATCAGAATCGGTGTCATGAGAAAGCGCCTCGAGTGCCTCTAACATACGTGTGGCGTTCGATCGATGGCCATTGATATTTTGTCGAGCTGGATTTGACGTTGGAGAGGACATGGAGGCGGACGAGTCGAAAATATCGCGAGTATTTTGCTCCTCAAACTCGCCAAAAGCTGCGTCTAATATCTCGTCATCGTCTTGACCGCTGTCGGTCGCGCTAACGTCACTCAACGGGCGTTGCGCACTCATCTCGGTCGCGAAAGCTACACGTCGTCTTTTATTTCAAATGCTTATGTATGAAGAGAATTGAAAACCCTCCCAATTCATAAAATGCGAAATTAATAGTTTTATTTTTCTACATAGAGATCTGGTTTACGCCTTCCCCTTGCAAAAAGCTTAGGCAAAGATGTTATCAAGTGAAGTTGCTGGTTTTTTTACCCTATTGGTGCATACAGTCGTGGCGCAAGCCTATACCACATAAGACCTTGATCCTACCGTCTGGAGTTGAGAAACACACTTGTGATATGCCGTGATTCGCCTTGTATCCTTTTTCGTATATTGTTCAAAAACCTGCATATACTAAGCCGAGACTATAATCGCCACCATTCACGGTCGCAGTCTTACAGTTGGTAAATAACGAATTTGCTTATATGTTCAAAAGTAACTGTCATTTGATATATTTAGTTACAATGACAGCGACCTTGCGGTCAATTTTAAAGGTACCACTCATACGCACCAGCGGTAGACTATATCATATTCTCTTATACACGATAAGAGCAAGGATGATTGTACGATTCGCAGTGTATCATGTAGAAGTAGCTCTTTTTCGACGTGTGATCGCCTACAGGTGAAAGGGTGGTGCACTCAACGCCAAACATGGTGTCGAACATGGTACGTACGGCATCGAGTGTCAAAGGTCGGATCTATGTTGCCGTATTGTCAGCGAATCCAATCTAGGATAATTATCAATAATTGTTGATCAGAAAATCAATCACAGTACATTTTTTATCAATGTTCTGAACTCAAAGATTATCCACCATTTGGTGTCATCGACATTTAGGTCAAATAAAAAAGTGGAGAGTTGTTTTAGATTGCCTAAAGGAGTGCAAACAAGGGAAGCATTTGACAGAAAGCTTGATGTGCAATGTACTACTTCGGAAAAAATGGTATTATGTACAATTGCAATTAAGATTTTATGTATTATACTGAAAGAGAATAATCAGTATCAAAGGATGAGCGACAAAGGAATGAGTGAAGACGGAGAACATACAGTAAGGAATCAACATAACAACTTTTATCTTTCCGGCAGTACTGAGGCAGCATAGAACATCACATACATGTATAGGGTTTATATACATCTTAACATGAACGTGGTAGCGATTAAGCCATAGCATATACACCTATGTATCAGGTATTTAAATCCTTGTCGAACGTTTAAGAAAAAAATATAGAAATATGACATTGACGTGGGTTGCTACAAAGCACCAAGGAATGCAATTGGGTTGCTACACTTTTTGCAAACGTACAGTCCGCGCAAACGCACGCACACAGAATGGGTTCGGATGCCATCTTAGACCGGGAAACTCAGAGCCTAACATTGAACCATAATCATGTTTGAGGATGTTTTATGGAAATGATGCTAATACATTTGGTACATTTCGTAAATACAATACAGTACATTTTTGAGTTAAGGACGCAATAGCGTCTCGATGGTGGAACAGCATCTTGAGCAGGATAAGAGGGTGAAACGTCCAGTGCACGATGTGCATTTGTCGTCACTGCTCCAATGCTGACTGTAACGGGGTTACACGTACCCTAGTAACATGTGTGTGAGTGTACGAGATGGGCATGGTGTGACTGCACCCAATTAAGAAATACGGTATGTAGCTAGGTAGCCAGTAGTTATGCATGTGTTTAGATTTTACTATATATTGGGGAGAATCTATAGATTTAATATCAGGCGGCTTTGCCGCAAATAAAAAAATAAATAAATATCAGCTTTGAATTTAAACAAAAGAGTTTATGAGCCTTAGTTACTAAGCGGGTTGCGATCCGCTTCACTCGTATTGGTTCTTGTAAGGTCGGTGACCTAAATTACGCCTCCTGAAGCGCAAAGCTACGGCAGCCCCGCTGCACTTGGTAGCACTTGTAGTGTGACGGGTCACACGGCACCTTGCACAGAGGAAGCTTGACTTCTGTAACGGGGTTACATGAGAGTGACCCGTCACTCTCCCAAGGGAGCTGTGGTGT